CCCCCCCCACCGGGTGCCTCCATAAGTTGAAATGCTGTTGACTTACAGGTCTACTGCTAATTGTTCATGTGCTGATAATGCAGGAGGTTCATACAATACAAGGGCATCTTCCTCGTATGGGTCATGAAGGGACCGTCTTGGACCCTTTCTCCTGATCCCAAGACCACGAGTTGATGACAGTCCTGAATTAGCAGCAAGGATACAAACATCACTGAGTTTAATTTAAATAGATAATAGCTCTCTCAAGCATGTACTAGCAGGGCTTAAAATAACGGTTGGACATCGGACAATGTCCGGCCAAAACTGGGACTTGTCCGGTCAAATCTTTGCCTTACGAGCAAACCCTTAACCGGAAATGAGGTACAACTGAACTGAAACTATATATGACTGACTGATGACTGATTCTTCATTGTTCAAACCCAGGGATCAAAGATAATGGCCGCTATACATGACCAGCTACAATGGACTGATATTAAGCAAATATGATCTGAGTCAATGTGACTATTCAAGCTAGAGGATAGTCTGCTATATGCAGCTGCTATTAGTGTCATGATGTACCACTCACCTCCCTAAGTAGCCGCTAGTGAGCGTTGCGTGGTGACACTAATAGCAGCTGAGTAGGAGTCTAGCTACACGTAGAGGACTGGTTATTTTTTTAGATGAAGAAAAGCTGGCCCAAATAACTGTAATATGATACAATGTAAATAATGGGTTTTATTCTTGTATTAGTTACCTTGATAGTTTGACATTGGAATCTTGAAAGGCTTGGAGAGAATGCCACGAATGATTGCCTCCTGTAAATGCAAAAAATTGTAAATCAACTTGTGCGACAGTCACAATCTAGAGACGGGACTGCCATTTTACATCAACATTCAAGACACAGCAAAGGTCTAACCTTTTGCAGATATTCTTAGAGCAAAGGCAGTCTTCTACTCACAGTAGGTACATTTTTATCCCTCTTGAAATAGCAACATTATTATTGTCATCAACAGCTTGATTTCTACAGTATGGGAAGGGATCATAACCTTCAAACCTTTTCCTTGGATCTGCATTTTTCCTTCTCAAATCATGTACTGATGTACTCAAAACAGTAATTGTAAGAGAGGGAGGGGTGGGTGGGCCAACGCCTAATATGCACTAGTCTAGATAATTTCCAAGTCTCATGCAGCTCTTCCAGGTTCAGTATCATACATACTAGCAAGTATACTATATTTTCCAATCTAAGCCCCCTTATTTTGCAAAGAGTACTCACATGGGCTGATAATGAAGATGAACAGCCATTGGTCATGTCTGTTAAGGGTTTCAGAGGTTTCCTGAAGGGTGAGATGTACTGGCTGGAAGGAGGTTCAGCATCCAGTTTCATTTTCTAAGTCACCAAAAATTAACATATAAATAAATAAACTAAAAAAAATCTACAAATTAAATTCATTTTCCAGCTCAAATTTTTGTTTTCTTGAACTAGTCCTTGAGTATAATATTGAAGAGCTAATAATGAAAAGATCGGACAAAGATACCAGAAATCAGGAACAACAACAACAAAATTCTAAAGGGTTATTTGAAGTGTTTTCCTTAACATTGTTGGTGATATCACCTGTTTTGGTCGTCGCCCATCATTGTCTTCACTACTATCTAGCTGTTTTCTCTTCAGGAGCTGACTTGGGGCACTTGATCTTCGCTATTTTGAAATAATAATCACATAAATTAGGAGCTAAGTTGTTATGAAGGCACCAGGTCAAGCAAACCAGTTGCGTCCAGATCAGCCATTTTTTAGTATTCAAACAATAACCTCATTTTATCTTCGTAAGCAAAGCTCTTTTAAAATTACTTATGACTTACCATGTTAGTTTGAGTTTAATAGTCAAGAAAGAGTACTAGTAGTCAGGAAAAAAGTCATTTCTGGACCAGTTTCAGCTCAAAACTCTGACAAATGTGAAACAACAAAAACATTAATCTTTGAATTACGCGCTCGAAGGCAGAATTAAGAGAGGGACTGGAGTCTAACTACACAGGTAGCCCAATCTTTAGCGTTATAAAATTTCCTTCTATTTCTTTTTATTTTTATTTTTCATTTTCTTTCTTTCTCTCTTTTCCACTTCATCCATTTTAAAACGACAATTCCTTTTTGCTGATACCCTAGATTTCTTTTTTCTGGTTATGGAAACTTAAATAATCTATGGAATCAAATACCACCTTTCATTAGGAATTTATCCAAAAAAAACTTCCAAAAGGAAATCAAAACCGTTTTATTAAACGATCTTAATATTAATCGCTATGATACTGAGATCTTCAATGTTTTTAAGTAAGTCTATCTGTAATGAGCTATTTTTCATTTTCTAYTCAGTGAACTACTTTTCATTTCCTATTCAGCTCTTTGTACTCTGATATTAACATTTATTTAGTATTAACATATAAAGACATCTTCGTAAATCTACGTGTATATTCTGTGAATTTAACCTGCCTAGACTAGCTTTAGCTATATGCAGGTTATATAGTTTTTCTTTTTTGTATTCTTTTATTCATCAATAAAATTTAAATGTATAATCGCTTGATGGAGCCTGCGTTTCTTACGGTCAGCATCAGGACGTAGATTTGCGCGCGAAGTGCATGTCCATGTACGTCACTGATTACGTATTTCTAAATGGCGTCAATATACTTTCCCTAACATTTTCAGTATTTTTGATTGAGTTCAGTTATCAAACGGACATCAGTTTTTTACCAAAAATGTTATTTCTCTCGCTTTCTGATTGGTCAAGAGATGTGGTCATAGGGAACCCACCAATAAAATACGCACGGAGCCAGCGCTCTTGTGAGCGTTTTTCTTTCAAACGTTTTCCACGTTTTGTACTAACAAATGTCCGATGGTTGCATGGTACATCCTTATGTGTATTTAGGGACTTTAAGATTTGCAAAATCAACGACGGTGACGTCAACCAGAAGTGTAAATAATTTTTCTTTAGGGGTTCTGTTCATTGGAAATTTCATTCACAAGCTTGTCAGTGAAATCAACTCATCCACAGGGAAGACAGAGTTTGAAGGAGCGAAAAACCAAAGGGAAGTTATTTACATTTCCGTTAGACGTCGCCGTCGCAGATATTGCAAATCTTAAAGTCCCTATTTACCACAAACAGTTGGTTAAAACTAGTTGTGTACCTATTTTAGTTTGTTCTACGCTTTGCTTAGCAACCTGGAATGTTTGGGTGGAGGCTTTCGTTTATCATTTATTTATGGTAACTGTACGACCGTTCTTTTTCTTTTTTAGTATTTTCTAACGTTTTTTAATTATTGTTTGATAAAGCTGTAAAGAAATCTTTAAACAAGCGGAATAAATTCACAAGTCTCACGACTGCAACCTTTGCTATTTACTTCTCACGAAAGCCATATTTTCCTAAATTTTATAGAATAACTGCGTCAAAGCAATTCTTCAAGTGATGTTAAACTTTTAACATTGATTTTGAGTAGAAATACCGAAGTAATTTTTTTCCACGATCCCACAATCCACCTGGAAAAAGTCCGATCCAGGTAGTAAAACCAGATCCGGATATTCCAAAATTTTGGATTTTCATGCTAAAACTACCGAATTCCGGAAGAGAAAATCTAATAGGTATCATTGGCGTAATTTGTTTTGTTTTTTATCGTAAAAAGTAATGGTTTTACGAGCATCAAAAATACCGACCCGTATTAAGAGCCACGTACGCTATCACTCACCTCCACCCCCAAGGGATTGGGTACAACAATTGGACTTTTGGCGCTAGCTATACGCTGCAAATTGACAGAGTGTGCACTTGCTCTACTAGGTCTACACTTATGCATCTTCCCTCTAGTTTTGATTTATCCCTTATCCCACTAAGTAGTGATCTCTTGTGTGTTTAAAGATTACTTTATTTGCATGCACTTCATAAAAATGTCATTACATTATCTAAATAATTAAAAATTCATATGAGTGAGCAATAGCGGAGTGACAAAGCGATATTTTAATGAAGGTAAAATACCACTGCCATATCACATTCTATGCTAACATAATAATAAATCGAGATATCTTAACCTGGATGCTTTAAAGCATATAGGTTGCATTTTTAAAGTAATTTCTAGCTAATTATCATTGATCCCTGATTGAGCGAAAATTAAAATTTATGAAAAAATTACGCTTACTCTAACTTGAAGATGTTAAAACTACATCGCCACAAAATATCCATGATTTCCTTCGAAACAAAAGTCACCGGGGAGCTGAGCGCGCTTCTAAACGATCTGTCAGCTCTTACCACAGTTTTCATTGCTACACGCTGATCGATACAACAGGCGCGACAGGGGAAGCGGGCAATAGATCTAGACTGCCTTTAGTCAAATAAATTGTTTAGTACTTTCACATACTCTGATTGACAGCAGTGTTTGCTGCCTGATCTTTCATATCACTACTGTTGCATCGATCAGCACGTAGCAATGAAAACAATGGTAATATAAATGGACTTTTTGTTGAAGTTTAGCTTTAATGGGATTTAAATAATCCGTTTAAATTTGAGAATTTCGATTACATTTATTTGCCAAGACTAGCAACCTTAACGCAAGGTAGTTGACCCGTTTGTACCCATCATGCCCTTCGATCACAGCCCATGGATAAAGCAGCTCTACTTCCTGTGCAACCACGCCTGATTCTTTACCACTCAGTCCCAGCTTCTCTGCTTCTTGGTTCCAGACCCATTCTACTCCACGAAGACCAATAGTTTCGTACTCAGAGTTATTCAACACAGTTATGTTTTCCTTCAGTTGTATGTCACTCAGTAGTGGAGCAAGAAAGGCATATCCAGCAGCTCCAACGATTCCTCCAATTATAGTACCCAATATACCAGTTTTTACGGTCTTATCCCGTTCGCGTTCTTCTTCTTTTTCTCTTTGTCTCTTTTCGTCTTCCCTTCTCATCATTTCCTCCAATTCCCTTCGTTCCTCAAGAGTGGATTGAATTACTTCATCCACATAGAGTACATATTTTTCCAGTTTACAATTTGATTTAAAGTTGTTGAAAGCTTTATGTCTTTGTCTCTCTATGTTTTGGGACGAAAGACGCAGGACTGGTTGAATGTGCTTATTTGCGCTTATCCTACACACTTTTTGTTCAAAGAGTTCGTAAAAGTTTGGATTAAGGTCACTCCATTTTTGATGGTCATTCATCACATCCACTAATCTCTGGGCCAGGTCTGCGAGTGTCTCTCCATCCATCAGTGCCCCATTCAAAGTCTTCTTCTCGGGTAAATTTAATAGTTTTGCTGTAAGATTCTCAATGGCATTCAGATATCCATTCCTTGATAATTCAGTGATATTCTGAAAATTATATTGAGGGTTAGGAATTAAAGGAACGTCGAAAACAGAAATACTTTCTCTTGGAAAGCGTTTTCCAATGACTTTTCGCTTTTCATCTGACTTGTCTTTCCATTTTGGTTCGACCAAGGAATCCTTTATGTATCTATCGATGCTATCATAACTCTCTGGGGGTGCCAAAGCTCCCCGGAGAACTGCTGTGAGCTGGGGGAAATGTTCGCTTTCCTTCTTGCCAAAGGCTTCCTCACTTAGACGAACTATTTTATACAGAAAATCAAGTATGTGTGAACTTGGAAATTCCTTCATAAATAGAGTTAAGCAGGAAGATGTTAAGGCTGTGAAAATACTGAGTTTATCTATGACTGTGTCATCCCCGAGATCTGTACCTTCCACGTCCAGTAATATGATATTCTCCATTCCATGTTTGCCAGGGATTTCTAAGGCCGAAATCCAAACGCCACGTGTCACGGCTTCCATAGTGTTTCCCGTTTTAAAGATTCCTTCAACATTTTTAGTGTGAAATGCCGAGGTATCAAGCCTACTCAGGATGTAATGAATAGAGTTCAGTGCTGTAGATTTACCAACTCTCGCGTCTCCAATAGCTGCAATGATCTTGACTGGCGAAGACAGCTGTTCGATCATGGAAATGGCGTCTGGATTGAGAATAAAGTAGTCCTTGTTGTTCTCGGTATTTTCCTTCACCGTGATCAGAGGAATAGCTTCATTTGCTGATGTATTTAAAACACAAAGCAAAGAAGAAAGAAAAGCAAGATAAATAATCGATTTTTCTTTCACTGTCATCTTGCTTGGTTGACTGAGCTCCGGCTTTTGAGTGCAGAGTCAGTATTTCCTAGAAATATGAATCTTATAAGATTCAGATGGGGAAACCCCTTATGATCAATCGATCTGATGGTAAACGTAAGGCCATGGCGTGATGCCATAACAAAGTATGCTACCGAGAAGGTATTTCGTTTGTGTTTTTCAATACATTTTTTTCTCGTGGAAGAAGTGAAAGAAGTAGTTAAAGGGGGGTTAAATTCTCTTTTGTTTAGTCGATGTTTGACAAAAAATGGCTCTAATCACCTAATTTACTATCTAGTAACGAAACTTAAAGGTAAATTARACATTATAACAGCAAATATCTATCAAAATTTATATAAGACATATTTTTTATTACCTAAAAGATCAAACCTTCAAGGGGGGTTCCGTGGACCCCTTCGACCCCCCTGGATGCCCCACTGAAAATTCATGAAGACATTCATGATGATTCAACCGTAGACAACGATGTCATGATCATTGATCATGAACGTGGCTTTCGGGAAAGTCCCTTAGGGGAAGTACCTCGATAGAATCCTTGATAGATGATCCGTAGAATAACAACAGACCACAGGAAAATACCGTGGTAAAACACTAGACGCAATGGTTATGACCTTTTAATTCCCAAAGTTAGAATAACTTATAATAATTTGCCACTCTCTCTTAAAGAGGTCAAATCTGTTGATATTCAAGTATAAACTGAGGGATATATTTAAGATTTTATTTTTTTTAGTCCTCTACTAATTTTAGACAATTTTAGAAATCCTTTTACTAGCTAACATCTGGAAATCGTTTTTAAGCTTATATAAATTAGAATTTTTTATATCGTTAAGTTAAATTATTTAGTTCGTATTTATTTGTATTTTATTATTTGTCCAGGGCGCTCCTTGATAACAGCTTCGCTGACGGGCCTACCCTGGTAAAATATGTATTTATCTTTTTTCATATCATTATCATTATCACTATCACTATCACTGTCACTGTCACTGTCACTGTCACTGTCACTGTCACTGTCACTGTCACTGTCACTGTCATTATCGTTATCATTATCACTATCATGTGCGAAAGTGATTTTTTAAAAGGTGTACACAAAATCATAGACCACGCCAAGTAAAACACGTGCATGTGCACGCAGAAGGTTGCCTTATATGTTTACAAAAACAACATTGAAAACATAGTACATAGCCATTCTACTTTTAGTATAACACTAATACCTAGTCAACTACACTAAAAGTCCTTCCAAGCGAAATTTTTAATTAGTGATGCAATCAATTTTTAAAGTGTCTATCCTTCTATAGTGTTTCCCGTTTTAGATTAATATTTCTATTCATTTTTCCCCTCGTGAATATTTGTCCCATCCGATTTCTATTCCTTTATTCTTGCATCTTAGTGTTATGGTTCTATCGGTGAAAATCTTCAAAGCCACGCTAAAGCCAACATTTTCAAATGTATTTGATCAAGTCTTCACAGCTTTTTGTTGGAATTTCTTCGTCCAGATCAACAACCTCAAAGCAAGATAGTTGACCTGTTGGTACCCATCATGCCCTTCGGTCACAGCCCATGGATAGAGCAGCTCTACTTCCTGTGCAACCACGCCTGATTCTTTACCACTCAGTCCTAGCCTCTCTGCTTCTTTGTTCCAGACCCATTCTACTCCACGAAGACCAATAGTTTCGTACTCAGAGTTATACAACACAGTTATGTTTTCCTTCAGTTGAGCATCGCTTAAAAATCTCGACAAAAAATGATTGAGTAATGGTACTACTACTACTGGTGCCACTACTGCCACCATTGCCACCGCTGCTGCAATTAATACTACAATTTTCAGATTGGTCACAAAATCGTTTTGCTGCCGTTCCCGTTCTTTCTGAAGTGTTATAGCTTTGTCAATATCAATTTCGGCCTGGATGATGCACTTTGGCAATTTACAATTTTCTTTGAAAAGCATCAGTTTTTCGTCTTTCTGCGTTTCCATATCTTCTGCCTTACGTAGACGCAAAAGCGGTTCGATATATTTCTCATAGCTTTTTCTGCACAGGTTTTCTTCAAAAAGAGAGTAAAAACTTGGATTGAGGTCATTCCAACGAGTTTTATCATTCATGTCTTTCACTAGATTCTTGGCCAATTCTGCGAGTGCCGGTCCATCTAAAACAGCTCCTCCTAACGACTTCTTCTCAGGCAATTCAAATAAGTGTTGCGTTAGGTTTTCGATGCTTTCCAGATATTCTGAACCTAGAAATTGCTTGGGGGTTTTGAGGTATTTTGGAGTTGATGCATCGTATGGTATGTTGAAAACTGTGATGTGGTCTTTAGGGAAACGAGTTCTTATGGCATCTCTTTGGTCATCAGATTCGTCCTTCCACTTTGCTGTGATCAAAGCATCGGTTATATATTGATCAATGTTTTCATAGCCCTGCGGTGGTTTAAGTGCTCCACGTAGAACCGCTGTCAAGCGTGGAAAATATTCACTCTTCTTTGTTCCAAAGGCCTCCTCACTTAGGCGAACTATTTTATACAGAAACTCAAGTGTGTGATTACTTGGAGACTCTTTCATGAATAACATCAAAGTTCAGGGGTGGATCCAGGGTTTGGACATGAGTAGTTTACTCTGAATTTATACCCAACCCACCATACCCCTATTAGTTATAAACTGCCTAAAAGGATAC